TTATGTCCTCTAAAAAGTCATGTTTTTATAGATGTATAGATTGGATTTTCTGAATATCACTTATTATCATGCTATTTTATTATAAAAAAAATATTTTTCATCTATCTGCATTAATGTATAAACAAAAACAAGTGCGCGTTCTACTGATAAAACAAAGCTTCAGAAAAAACATCTATCTTTTTACATATTGCACCATATATATGAAACACTTAGTTTACAACTATTCCTATACTTCTAGCCATAATACAAAAAACATTATCTAAAAAATAAAACATCATTTCACTTAAACAACTAGAAAAATATATCTAAATGGTCCACATGTCTTTCAAGGTCGTTTGCTTGTGTTTAACTTGAGTTGTTGTCGGTTGAATATGTTGAATTTCTTGAGCTTGCTTGGAATCCTTATTTTCTTCATTAATTGTTAATTCATTTAATTCAACCAAACTTGGATCAAATGTGTACCATTGTATATGGTTAGGTTTTATTATCGAATTATCATTCCATGTATAACCAAGCGAACGAAAAGCCTTGATCAAGTTAATAGATTTCAAAGTACGAAACCATGCTGAAGCAGTTAATCGTGTACATAAGACACGCTTTTGGGAAGATGTTAGTTTTAATTTTGTTCGAGGACCGTTTGTTTCCAGGAATTCTTCAGCACAATCGTAATAATGATTCTTAAACGTAGAGAATACATGTACGTCTAGTAATTGAATGTACTGAGTACAACCTTTTGGAATAATCGCCAAACATATACCACTTGATTTCATCTTCTTTTTCAAACCTTCATCTATATGACAATTGCAACTATCCGTGATAAAAAGTTTACGATTGCCATCTTTAACTTTGTTCAACCACCAGTCCATATATTTATTCATAGTTGGTTTATTTATAAATGCCTTGGGTGTAAAAAACACTTTAACATCTGGTGAATAATGTTTTTCTTCAGCAACAACAACTCTTCCTTTACCACGAAATAAAAGTACTGGTTGAATTCGATCATTATTATCGGGAAATACGCATAATATGACTGTTGCAAATCGTTTGTCGTCCAGATGACCTTCGATTTCATTTTTTGTATTCACATCATTTATGCAACGCTTGGATTGATCACCCCATAGGTTTAATGGAGATTCATCCATATTGCATACATCGGTCTCAGTAAAACACCCCCATTGGACCACGTTGCGGACCTAATTGACTAGAACAACGTAAGTACGAATGAAATTTACCAAGCAAGGCATGTGCTTCTGGACGTGAAACCTTTTGTTTTCGCACCGGCCTTTGTAATGACAAACGATGCTTTTTTAAAAATCTTGAATACCACCGTCTTGATGGTTCTTTATCTTCATTCAAATCACAAAACCGCTGTGCTTGTCGAATCATAGCTTTGAGTGTCACCTTTTCTTTGGACACTTCATGACCATCTTGATCCAAACCACGTTTCGATCTATACCATGTAATTAAATGTTTGTTCAAATCATAATAGGTCAACTTAGCACCACCACCTTCAATTCTTTTGCGTATTTTATTTTTTGCACCATCTTTCAGTAGTTTGATTAATTGATGTTCTTTTCTTTTCCATTCACGAATCATTTTTCTGGTACAGGAGTATTTTAATTCAAGTGTATGTAAAGATACACCTTTGTCAATTTGTGTAATAATTTTCATTTTCTCCATTAAAGTCCATTGTCGATGTTTATATTTTATGGGAAGAGCAGATGTTGTTGTTGAATTAATGCACGTCGACAAAGGTGATGTTCGATCAATTTGAATAACCTCATCGGTATTCGGATTTGTTAAATCTTCAGTTTCATTTTCGCTGCTGCTGCCGTCATGGTCAAGATTAAGTCGAATGAAATCATCGTTAATTACATTAGTATCATGAATTTCGATGTCGGAAGCAACTGATGCACTGTCCGAATCAGAATCTTCATCGATGTGATGATCACCTTCGATATTCAGCGGTAAAAGATGAGAATTCATGATCAGATGATTGTCCATAATTTTTTTCTGTGCCCAATATTCAAAACATGTAAATGACTTTTCGAGAAAAATGAAAGAATTGAAATGACGACAAGATAAATATAACCACCACATACATTAGTTTCTGTATATCTTTTATACAGACATCCATGAGGTGCACTTGATGTTATTGTAGAACGGACTATTGTAGAGGTCAGAAAGAAAAGAATTATTCCCAGGCCGATCATTCCGGCGACTGGATCCGTTGAAATCTGAGTCGGTTCCGGTACAGCTCTTCTCGATTCCGGCACAGTTTTCGCCGATTCCAGCAAGTTCCGGCAGATTCCTTGCCGCCGGATTCCGGCCGGAATTGGACAGGAAATATCCGATCAGTTCCTGAACGTTTCCGGCTCGAAGTTTGCAGGAAACGGCCGGGATGTGAGTGGAACCTACGTTTGAACTTCCGACCGGAATCCGGCGGCAAGGAAATAGTCGGAAAACTAACCTAACCGGCCGGAACCGACCGTGCCATAATAACCTGGGTTCGTCAATGCATATCACTGTAAGCTTGAAAAAGAAAACGTACCATGAACTAATTTTAACGGCGAGGAGAACAGAAGAAAATTCCTCTCATTTAACAATAAGACGTACATAATACAAAAAAAATATAAAAAAATCTGACTATTGCAGACGAAAAATTATAGGGGTCTTCTAATATGTCTTTTACATTATTTAACTAAGGGGGTCTTCTAATGTGAGGGGTCTTTCAATATGTCCATGGCTTTATTCAGTTTCGCTTAGATTTTCTATTAATTGAGTGGCACGAGATGCATAGATTGAACAAATACCTGGCAATGAACACTGCCTTTTTATCTTGCCATTTTAGTACAGAAAAATTTCTATTTATCTCTGTTACGGGTTAAACCATCACATTTCCAGCCTCTTCTTCTCGAGGTGTTTAAACCATTGTTAAGATGATATCTTAGGATATCATCTCGTCTGTCTCTTTGTTCCCTAGCTATATATATATATATATATATATATATATATATAGCCATGGATTCATCTTCATGGCTGTTCGGGTCTTCTCTTTTTCTTTCCATTGTTCACACTTCTGTTCGTATTCAATAAACGATCTAAGACTGGCCGTCTCTCTCTCACTCCATATCGATTTCTTTCTCTTTCTCTTTCGTATCCTCCTAACACACTGAAATAATGTCGCTTTGTATTCCATACCATGTTCAAAAAAAGAAAGAAAACTTATTCATAGTACTCCTTCACGTCTTACTTCACTCGTTATGCAGTATACTGCTTGTCGTAAGATAGAAGTTTCAAAGTGTGTCGTGGTGGTTTGCCATTTGGGCCTCAAAAACTCATGTTAATTGGAAAAAAACATCTTTCTCTATATCGACCAAACACCCCCATAGCACTCAGTGAAATCGATAACTATACTACAACACTATTGAAACTTGTCACGAAGCAATGAAATATCATCAGAATAATCGATATGCTTTAGCAATTAATTTAGTCAATCCAAATTACAGAGTATAACATCGAAATAATGCAATTAACAACATCGATTCACTACGAATACAAGAAAAAAGAACCATAAACAACTTTTTTTTTTGATCAAATCGAAATGAATCGACCCGCAATATCNATATTCAAATAATTGAAAAAAAGACTGCAAAAATAGTTGAATAGTTGAGTCGAAATTTCGAGTTTCGCATTACTAAAAAACGCAAGGATCATAGTGGCTATTCATAGTGGGCTGCTGTTTCGTGTGTGAAAAAATGATCATGAATAATGGATATTACATAAATAACAAGAACGATGACAGTTCTTTGGTTAGTTTTGAAAAAGGTTGAAATTGACGAGGAACGTTCTCGAGACATCATTTGGAAGCACAAATTTTATCTGAAGTATAACCCAATCAGTCGAGGGTAATGCGAGTCTCCCTCGACGAGCGTTATTTTATACTAATAGAGATGATAATACTAATTAAATATATTTAAAAGAAAACCGACCAGTGTACCATTGTTAGGATCCGATTTAAATGAAGACGAAAAACAGATGTTCGAGTTCAGGTCCCTTTCGACCACCTTTATTTCATAAAGTTAAAACAACAACTGAAGAAAAATAAACAACACGAAAAAGAGAGAGAGAGGAAAAGCAAACAAGTTGCCGTCCAATGACGACTAGAAAGATGAAAGAGAACGAAGACAAAGGGTCGTCCATCTGATATAGATGGCGATCCTGACAATAGTAAATTTAGTTTATTATCGAAATAATTCTTCGTTCTTTTTGATGACGAAAAATTTTAACAATAGTCACAACAATTACTCGACAAATGACCATTAAACCTCCATATAATGAAATAATATTTGTTAAACCTTGAATAATATTTGTTTGGTCAATATATGAATAAGTACATGATGATGGTGCACATTGATCAAAGTATTTTTCATAAGATATATTTTGATAAAATTCTTCAATCATTAATTTGTTGATAAGTGATTCAATTGTATTATTGCTATTAAAATGACTTATTTGTAAATAAGAAACATTTAATGCTTGAAATGTTTTATTTGAATCAATACATTGTTGATCATAAAAACAATTAAGATCCATTTGTAAGAGAGTTTCAAGTGGATAACAACCAATTAACATTCCTTTTGATGATTGTATACATTTTGATGATAATCCACAATTACATTCTCCATAATTAATCGGTATTGTATGTGCAGTCCAAAGATAATTTATTTGTGATGGTGTAAAAAAAATCCAATTTGTTGATAATACACTCATAAATTTATTTGCTGATATTGTTTCACGAATTAAAGATAAAATATTTAAAAAATTATCAGGTAATGTTAATTGAAATTCATCAATGATTATTTTTATTCGTCCATTTAAGACTTTTGATGATAACAATTGATCATTGATAAAATTTGTTTTTATTAATTGCGAAAGTGCATTATTTACTGTTTGTTGAGATAATTGACAAAACGAAGCAAGTAATTGAAATTGTGCATAGAACGAATACTGATCATTATTGTTATTATATAAATATTCCATCCAATCACTGTTTATAAAGTCACTTGAACAAATTTGATGAAAATAAGGTTTTATTGTAAGAAATACTTCATGTTTCATTGATATTTGTGAACAGGAACATTGAAGCGTATTTGAATAATGTTTTAATAAATCTTCATATAAATCTAATGATGGTTTTTTAGTATTAATTGTAATTGTTTGTGGAGTCAATACAGAAAAACTGTAAACTATACAAAAAACTATGATAATTAATAGAAAATGTAATCGATTAATAATTTGATGTTCATTTTGACAAATACATATATTTTTAATTGATTGTAGCAATGCTATTCGATTCACACCATTCATTATTTTATAAATAAATCGAAGTGTAATTAAAAGAAAAAGTTTAATACCAAGTGACAAACCACCAAAGAGACCAACTATACTTGTAACAATAAAAAGTATATCATTTCGACTTGAATATTCATATACACATGATAATGGAGCACAAATATAATAATATGAAGAAAATGATATACGTGATAACCAAGAATCAACCATAATTCTTTTAATGATTGAGTTAATTATTTCGTTTGGTATGTTACGAGTTGAATCAAGTGAAGAAAAATTAAATAATCTTTTCATGGGAAATTGCATATATCGATCAAGAATGATCATCTGTGACTTATTATAGAAGAATTCTAATGTTGATGCTAATAAAGCTTCAAAAGGAAAACAGCCAATAAAAAAATTTGAAATGTGATAAAGTTCAATTATTTGAGGGTATTCATCCATATTAGAATAGATACGCAAAGAAGTAGAACATGATTGAGATATTCCACAAGTACAATTTCCATAAGTCTTTGGTAAAATTTTTGTTTCTCTTGAAATATAGTTTGTTGTAATATTAGTATTTAATTTACCATTCATTAACAAATTACCTTGAGAAATTGATTGAAAAAGTTCAATTGTAAGTAGAAAACGATTAGTAATATAGGATTGCCATTCTTGAATTGATGAATTTATTTGAGATTCAAAAAGCTGTATTGAAATAACTTTTGAACTTATAAAATCTGTTTGTAAGAATATATTAAGACTATTCGTTATTATTTGTTCTGCTTGTTCACAGAGGATTTTTAATAATCGAAATTGAGTACTAGCACTCGCACGATAATCTGTGGATACCAGATCAATATTAGGATCATTAAATTTTGTATAATCTAACCATTTTAAAGAAATAAGATCACTTGAACATAACTGATGATAATATGGTTGAATGGTTATAAATGTTGAATAATTCATTGAAATATTTGTACATGGACATAGAAGATTATCAGAATATATTTCTTGTAATTGAATATATTGATTTTCAGTTGGATTCAAAAGTATTTTCTTTTGAATTTCTGTATTTAACGATAAATAAATACTCAATATTGTGAGTGAGATAAGAAGAAAAATAATATATAATCGAGTAGCAATACGTTGATAATGTATCTGACGATCAGTACTTGGATAATGTTTGAAAATGTTCAATTCAATTATTAGTATTTTTATTTGAATTTTTAATTGATGTATACGATTATTTACTAGAAATTAATATGAAAGAGAATACATATGTACATCTCTAAATTATGTTTTATACTTACAAGAAATATGTGGAGTTGGTTGACGATTTTTTAGTCTGTTACTAAATTTGATTATGATTGGAATTATTATTCCAAGTACGACTGTTAAACCAGACAATAAACTAATGAGTCTGATTGATGTATACTTGAAATTAGGTCGTTTTAATATTGAATATATGCATGATATAGGTGCACATTGTTTGTAATATTTTTCATATGTAATATTTTTTTTCCAATTTTCTATCATTAATTGATTAACAATTGATTTGATGGTTGCATTTAATTCGAAACGACTTTGATTGTCTACTTTCAATGCTTTAAATGTTTCAATTTTAGGCAAAAATGATACAAGTTTATCAATACATGATTGATTATAGAAACATTCTAGTGTTGAGAAAAGAGCTATATCCACTGGAAGACAACTTCCTACTAAACCGGAAATTGTCATAGCTACCTCTTTATTAGTATCAAAATATAAAGAAGAGGGTGCGAGTTCCTTATAAATCCCAGAAGTTCCTATACAATCAGGAGTAAATTCACAAGCACAAATAGATCCATCAGATTTTTCAATTCCAATATTTATCATAAATACAAAGTATCCATAATAATCATCATAATAATAAGCGGGAATCATACTAATTGGTAATGCAGTTTTAAGTTGATTGGCCATGGTCATTTCACGTACTAGTTTCAATTGATTGTTAAAATTATTTGATATAGTTAATTGAAATTGTTTAATAAGGCCTTCTACTTGTGCTTCCAATGTTTTTTTTGACAGAATTTGAGGAGTGATTAGTTTATTTTTATAAAATGAAGAGATACTTTGTAAAATATTTGCTTGGGAGAGACGACAGAAACCAGCCAATGCTTCAAATTGACTACTAGCCGTAATGCGAAAATCATAAATATCAAAAAAAGAGGTGTTAAGACCAAAGAATAAAGCATTAATCCATCGATCAGATACAAAGTCACTTACACATACTTGATGAATGGTTGTTTGAAGTGATACAAAATCGCCATAAGATATAGAAATATGAGAACAATGACATCGCGCGTCTTGAGGAAGTTTTTCAAATTGATCTTCAGTTGGATATTCAATAGTAATGATTGATGTTGCAAAATTTAATTTTGTGTAAAGTCCAAAAAGAAACAAAATTAATAGGAGAACTACTAAATAGATTCGAGTAGATATAATATTCAGACGACGTTGTTGATCATCTTCTCTTTCATTACTATCAGGAGATGGTTCAAAAATATTCAAATTAACAAAGTAACTTTTCACAGCGGATATCATTCTATAACAGAACAAATAATTTTAAAAAATCATTATTTTCAAATAATTCTTTTTATCTGGAAAGAACAATGGGTATTGGTGTGTACAATCGAATTTACCCACTTTTAGCCTCAAGATACGAGGTGAGAACAACACTATGTTTCGCACTCATCTCATCGTTACAGAAGCCTAAGAATATCTTTCTAGCATACTTATATAAATAATAGCAAACTAGAATTATTATTTATTTCATTTATGACATCCACCATTTCTAACTATGAATAAAACATCTTCTCAAAAACTCAAAATGATTTTAAAGAATAACATAATAAACTAAAAAGAAGCACATTGATTAATCTGTCATTTTTCGATAACTATCGTAGTATGAATGATTTGAGAAAAATAAATAGAAACGATACACGATACCAACTTTAAATACTTACTCTTTTACAGAATACAGTCCTACTCTAAAAATTATTTAGCATCCAAATGATACTAACATGTAATTTTTGAAGTAATATTGTTTAAAATAACAAGATGTACTGCATCAGAAGAACTGGCATACTTTAACTGATTAATTCAGAGCGGAATGACATAGTTTTAACTGATTAATTTAGAATAGAATGACTTAGTTTGTAAAACTCATTGTGAAAATCTACTTGCAATAATAGTCAAAGAAATTAGAATATTTTCGATGATCAAGGGTATTTTGGTTTTAATTACCTGTAGAGAGATGTGCAACAAAACTGAAAAACATCTTTGGTGAAAATTTAACCGTTCAAAAAAGAAATAACTGCTTCTCTCCTATTACTTTTTTTTCAAATTTTCAATTTTTTTTACAAGAGAATGTTAAAATAAGAGAAACTATAAATTATATTTATTATTTCATAGTTATTAAAATCAAACAAATAAGGCAGTCGATTTGTGACACATCTATTAGTAATTATATTAGCAACTGACTTTCAAAAGACAATCTTATATATATATATTTTTAATTATCATTTTACTCTTCTCATAAAGTTTTTGTCTTTGTCGATTGTGAAAAGCTCGAACAATATTGCGTTTATTCTCGTGTGAAATCATTTAGAAAATGAAAAAGAAATATAATTCATCGAGCCAGAAAGAGAAAGTGTTCTAGAACATTTTATTATAATTGTAAAAAAAAGAACAATTTACGCAGCTTTGTTTATCGACATCAGTATTGACAAAATGGCTGCAAATATAAAAGTAAGAATGTTAGATTGTTTATTAAATCAGAGAAATGGATTAATAGGAATAAATTTTCTCAAATGATAAAGGGACGATTTTCTACGATTATGATATACATTTACAATGCTTTTCTCGTGTTATTCAAATTTTTATGAATCTATTGCACCGTTGAAACTGTGTAGATGTACGAAAATCATATATTAATTAAACTTCAGAATATCACGATACTCCGTGATACTCTAAATGCAAGCGAAATCATAGAGTCTGCTGTTTCCTATTTGATAAAGCTGTGGAAATCTGTTTGTAATGTTAACTGATGAAATCAATTGAATGCGATGAAAGTTAAATGCATCTGTTTAGAAAAATCACATTTTGCCTATGTACTTCCTTTTAAGTTCTAAAATCCAGAGCGTTTTAGACGTTCGCACGTACTTCGACTTTCAGAAATTCTAACAGATTTTGGATAAATCTTGATGGATTGATATTTTTCATTGGAAAAGACATGCGCATTATAGAGTTGCGAATATTTTCTATACAGATTTCTGAATTATCATCCAACAAAGCTCAAAGTACTGACAATTCGCCATCGTCATCGCCACCAAAGTTTGTTGAATATCTTAATAGAAAATCATATGTAAATCGTGTTACTTCTTCAGTTTTAGACGAGATATTTTATTTCGCCAATATCCTCTACTTATTTTCGGAAGTCTTATCGGTGTCGTACTCAGTGCCATCATTATAACACCATTACTTATCAATACGAATGGAACTTCATCACTGAATATCAAAATTGGTACGTATATGAGGATAAATGTGAGCGAAGATGTACAGAAGAGACCCTCATCCATACCCGTCTCAAACGAATAATTTTCACCTTGAGTTGAAACAAACATTTTATCATATATCTTTCAGAAACATTGGATCGTGCTACAAATATGACACCTGGAAAAGCGTCAATAGGTTCTGTCAGTAAGTTAGTCAAATAACAGGCCACGATGTGCATATGTTTTTATATATTTATATCATTTTTTAATAAATTTTGAGAGTTATTTTATTACAGGATCATTATTGATGAATTCGTCTAATTTATCAATGACCAAGTTACCAGCAAACGATACAAATTCAACCATTTTAGGTAACTGCACTATTTCTAATTTCGATCAACTTTTTTTCGCAAGAAATGTTAACCTTTGTTCATATTTTCCAAAATAAGAAATAGAAGATTGTACATACATTATACTTCTATCTTCACATCAACTCCCATACATGTTTGATATTTCAGATTCAAAATGTCATCAATTAACATTTGCTCCGTACACTACTTACAGCACTCTCGAGAGACCTTATTCAATTAGTACTGGTGATGTTAATGGAGATAACATAACTGATCTTATTATAGGTTACAATTCTTGGACATTTAAAATTACCATTTATTATGGAGACGGAAGCGGAACTTTTTCAACACAATCTTCGATAGTTTCGGATTTGATACCAATAGCCGTTGCTGTTGCAGACTTAAATAATGATAATATTAAAGATATTGCTGTAGCACATTTTGACTATTTCGGCAGTGTAGCTGTATATCTGGGACCCATTTATGAAAACATTTATGTCCCAAGAACTCTGTCAGTTGGCGACCGACCATATTCAGTTATTATAGGTGATTTTGATCATGACTATAACGCAGATATTATAGTGGCTAATACTTTTGATAGTACAATCAGTATTTTATGGGGATATGGTAATGGAACGTTTACAGCTCAAAATACCGTAAACACCCTTAATGGTCCCATATCACTTGTTGCTGCTGATTTTAATAATGATGATTATTTGGATTTCGTTATTGCAAACTTCCACAGTAGTAGAATAAGTGTGTATTTCACTCATGGTAGTGGCGTTTTCCCAACAATTAAATCATTTTTAACAAGGTCTACGCCACGAAGCATAGCGATTGGAGATTTTAATAATGATGAATACATTGATATTGTTGTTGTTAATTATATCAATCATACAATGAGTGTGTTACTTAATACTGGTAATGATAACTTTCAATCTCAAATGGTTTATTCAACCGGTGAACTACCAATGTCTGTAGCTGTTGCAGATTTGAATGGTGATACGTATTTAGATATTATCGTTCCTAGCAACAGATATAGTTATTTCAGTATATTTTTGGGTTACGGGAACGGGTATTTCGGAACTGAACTCATTTTTAATACTGATTTATGGCCTGCATCAATTACTGTTGATGATTTTAATAATGATAACCGAATAGATATTGCTGTTGTCAATGAAGGTGATGACACACTCAATATATTTTTAAATACATGTTAAGACGATGTTCTAAGTTTTATGTAAAAATACTTTATGCTTTTATCGATGTTTGTAATGTTCACTATTTCGCTTTTTATTTGCAAAATAATTATATGATCATTACCAGTCAAAGGTATCCAAGGGAGAGAAGGACTACTTCTACACCCCAAAAATGATTCTGGAATACGTTGAAGTAGACCGGAGTAAACTTTGAGTACTATTCTTCTCCTTGAATACAACACGCCTATATCCTTGTTCTCAGACTACAATGAAATAGTTTTAAAATTATCTTGGTGACTGTATTTGTATATTGGATTTCTATTTATAAACCGATTAATTTTAAATTTCATCGTCTCTCACATATGATATTGGAAACTCTTCTTATAAAGAAAAATTCTTTCACATATCTAACGAAAACATTTTAAGAAAAAGAGAGAGAGAGAGAGAGAGAGAGAGAGAAAACATACGATTTGACATTTTTTAGTAGTAAGACGAGTAAAAATGTGGAAATCAGTGGCATTGCAAAAATTTGACGCTATCTCCTGTCGTTTCATACCGTCTTTCACTGTAACACATGATAATTTTTTGATAGCGTACCATATGAAAAAATTTTAAATGTTTTGTTCAAAGCTACTACAATCTGTACTCTGTCAAATGTTGACTACATCTGGATGGATGTTGATAAGAAACAATAAACATGATCAAAAGTAAATACGTAAAAGACAGTTTTAAGAATATATGAAATTATCAATTTGCATATGATGTCGTACAATTTTACGAAAACTAAACATAGGAAAGTTAAATTCAAAACTGTGTAAATATATGCCGTAGTCGAAGCATTTTTTTGTAAAGGCATGTGATACTTGAGTATGTTGGTCGAGAAAATCGAGCGCTATGGACACACCTTTGTTAACCCTTATGGTTTATTTCGATTAAAACCCTACTTGTCAATCACACACAAAACGCAAAAGGACAAGCTCTATATATATGTTAGATTACATGGATATTCTCTTAGATGTCATCATAAGAATATATCTGTCGATCGTATAAGAAATATTACTAGGAAAAGGTTAAAGGAAAACATATCTAGACCATGCAGCAGAACGAAAGAAAAGAAAACAGATGGATAATTCTTTATAAAGTGTTGTAAGAAGTGTTCTATAATCGTAATATTAGGATCGGACCAAAGTATCGGCTCATAACAATCCTGAAATCTTTTTTGCAGATCTACTTAATGCGAAAAATTTAATGTAAAACAAAGATATTTAAATCAAACACTTTTCCTTCGATGAATAAGTATTACATAAACAAAAAATAAGTTGATAATTATACAGAAAATTATCATAATTATAATTAAAACAATATACATCGCAAATTTAAACGAGATAGACCCATTGATCTTCTCAGCTTCTTATGTTCATGTTTCAATAACAGAAATAAATCGATAGTACATAAGTATCAATTGATTACCTTAAATGTATATGTGTATGTAATTATGAAAAATATTATTATTTCATCGAATACTTAATTTAATTATTTCTAAATATCTTCTTTAGAAAGAAAAGGAAAGATTATTACTCTTAAACTATAAATATTTGAACATGAAGAAATCAAGAAGCAATTTATTCAACGACCGAAAATTCACATACAGTACATGACAATATTAGAACAATTAATGAAATATCAGATTAGTATTTGAAAAAACCTAGTCTTTTAGGTTTATGATCTAGTTTTTGTGTCAAAACTATAAGAATGTAATAATGACGAATTCATTTGATCTTTCCTAGTTTTCATAATATTTCTTGCTTTCGCCCACTGCTGCGATACCATTTACTGGAATTTAGCTAACATGGCATTAAATTCTAAGTGAAGACAAGTTTTTATTTCTGTACGATATTTAACATTTGTCAATATGTAAATATAAAATCCAGTAGCAAGATTTGTATGATAAAGATACTTGTTTGAAGCAGTACAGTAATAAAAAAATCATAAAATTTGACGATGAAAAATAAATATCAGAATAGAATTTCTTATTTTCTATAAAAATCTGTTAGAGTAAATAACACAGTAATAAATTTTATTAAATATTTTAAAAAAATCACTATATTACATAGTTTCCGGTTATTGATTTGTTTCTTATACGATTTAACAAGAATTTTATAGAAACAAATTCAATGAATCGACAAGATTTTATTTCCGAAGTATGTGAAATCAATTAAATAGTCAAATGATAATTTCTATTCGATATTTTCATAAATAATTTATTTAAAGAAAAAAAGATTGATCTATAATTATATCCGAACAATTTATTCATTATGATAATACTCTTCCAATAAATAATCATAGATCAAATCATTAATATAATAATAATAAAAATTTTTTTTTTTTTCCGTTTTAAATAATGCTTAGATTTCATTCTTTCAAGTGTTATTATCCCTGATAATCATTCGACATCTGTAACAGTGAGAGATCTTATTGTATACAAATCACATAACAATAAATAACGCTCGTCGAGACGGACTCGCATTACCCTCGACTGAAAAGATTCATATGTAATAATCAATTTGCTATTGTTTTTTCATTGCATATAAGAGAAAAT